TTTGAATAAACGAATTTAGAAAAAAGAGAAAACTCTCCGCGAGTACTCCTTAATTAGTGATTTCGTACGAGGTACCATCGGTTTGTCTAAAAAAAGAAAGCAAGGTACCAGCGGTGGAATTTCTCATTGAAAACAAAAAGTGCCAGCGCGTGGTGGTTGGAAAGAAAATGCAGCGTGAGAGTCACTCATTCCGGATGCTGGAGGTCCATTTTCTAGCCGTCCCTGTCCGTCCCCGGTCCCTCGCCGCATCTTCTTGTCTGGTGGTTGCCGTTGCCGAGCGCCTTGACTTATCGGAGGGAGGGGAGACTTCACTTCATCGGGGTAATGGAGGAGGAGATAAATCTTGGCGGCCCCGACGGGGTGGAGGTGAAGAAGGAGGCGGGGGAGGAGGAGATAAATCTAGGCGTCGCCGGCGGTGTGCTGGTGAAGGAGGAGGCAGGGGAGGAGGAGGAGATCGAGTTCGAGCCGACGGAGGACGAGCTGGTGCTGCACTTCCTCCGGCCGCAGCTGCGCGGGTTCGCGCCGCGCGTGGCGGGCGCGGTGGTGGAGGTGGACCCGTGCGCGGCGACCCCCTGGGAGCTTCTTGCGCGGCACGGCCTGCTGCGGAGCGGGCACGGCTACTTCTTCGCGGCGCGGCGGCGCGGGGAGGGCGCCCAGGTGCGGCGCACCCCGGAGGGCGGCGGCGGCGGCAAGTGGATGCACAACGGGAGCAAGGAGCACCGCCGGTCCGTGACGGAGCTGGGCGTGGTCGCGCGCTGGTCCATGACGCTGTACTGCTTCTACTCCCGCGGCGGCGTGAGAGGGGAGGACGGGGCGCAGCAGGGGCGGCGGCGGAGCACCGGGTGGGCCATGTCCGAGTACGAGATCACGGACCCGCGGTGCTACCGCCGGGCCGACGACGGCGAGGAGGACCACTACTGGGTGCTCTGCCACGTCCGCCGCAACGTCAAGAAGAACCTCAAGCCGCGGTCCTGGGAGTGCTGGAAGTCCTGGGATCTCCAACAGTTCTCCGAGCATGAGGGCATCCACAGTGTGTAGAGGCAACCCAGCCTCTAAGGTGGGCCCCATACACCTGCCTCTAAGCCAATGCATCCTTCCCGCAATGTGAGCCTCTAAGCCCATGGGCCCACCAGCTGCCTCTAACCACCGAACACTCTTCCCTTCGCGCAAAAAATCCCCAATCGATTCCAATCCCTAGCGGCTGCAGGAACCACGCCATCGTCTCGACCGTCTCCGGCGACCAGGCAAACCAAATACCTCGCGCGAGGCTGGACGACGGAGGCGGTTGATCTAGCAGCTGGATGTGGACTGGTGGTGGTGGCGGGGGGTGCAGCAACTGCGCCGGCAAGTGCGTCGAGGCGCAGCCGCCGGTCTATTCCTGCTGACCAACTGCGCCGGCGATGCCGAGGAAGCGCTACGCTGATAGCAGCGGCAGCGGCGTTGTGCGAGTACTAGGCGCAGGTCTGGCGCATGGGCGGGTTCACGCGGAAGCACAAGGTGAGATGTGGCTGTTCATGGGTTTCCTGTACGTGAGTATGTGACTTTGTATTTTGGTGGCTTTTGAGCTGAATATAGTAGGGAATATCACAGATCTCCATTACAGCCTTCTTATATTAAACATTAGAAAAAATAAAAGATCTAGCAATACAAATATTTTGGTGGCAGCATACAGAGTACATGGTGAACAAATCTGGAATAAACTAGTCTAGAAATAAAATTACAAATTATTTGTTGGGTCTCTAATACAAGCTAAGGCTGACCACCCCGAATGGTTGCCATAGATACTCTATCAAATCGCCTTTGAGTTGTCGATGTGTAGCTCGATCACGAATTGCTGAGCCTATCTCCAGCACTCTGGCAAATTCATGAATTGGCCCATGGTTCAGATTATCTATTTCGTTGTTAAAGGTACCCTGATCATAGTCATAGTCGAAGCGAACCTCATAGGAATCCCGCTCATCCTCGACTATCATATTATGCAATATAACACATGCATACATGATATCAGCAATATCTTGCCTATACCAAAGATTAACTGGACCACGTACAATAGCAAATCGAGATTGTAGAACTCCAAATGCATGTTCAACATCTTTTCTTGCACCTTCTTGCATCTTTGCAAACAATTTTGTCTTGTCAGTTGGGGGCAAGCGGATTGTCTTCTAGCATGATTGTTGGTACTCCATAATCACCACGAGTAAACTGCGCCTTCCAAGGGACAGGGCAATTTTTCCACTCCCAATGCATGCAATCAATACTTCCTAGCATACCAGGGAATCCACGAGCCTCTCCTATATGAAGTAAGCGTTAAACATCTTCTTCAGTAGGTCTTCGCAAATATACTTCACCAAAGTTCTCTCTAATGCCTTTTGCAAATTCTCTCAAGCACTCAAGGGATGTGGTTTCAGCCATACTTAGAGTGTCATCGATATAATCTGCCGGGACACCATAGGCTAACATCCGCATAGCTGCTGTACACTTTTGCAATGGTGAAAAACCTTTCTTGCCAAAGGCATCATACCTTCGACTAAAGTAAGGTGACCAATCACCAAGAGTGTGCATAATATGTTCAAATAGATGCTTTCTCATTCGATACCTTCGACGAAATTGCTTGGGGCTGAAGACTGGGTCATCGGCGAAGTACTCAGCATACAACTTGTTGTGGCCGCCTTGACGATCTCTGGCTCTGTATCTTCGATGATGCTTTTGTGGCTGGCTAGGAAATAGTTGTCTACCTATAATAGATTCAATGGATTTTTCGATTTTGTCATCCATTGAATCATTTCCATCACTGCTAGAACTAATTGAAATGGAGGAGAAGGAGTCTGAAGACATGTTTGAAGTGGACGAGCTACTGGTGTATGCCTCCAGAAGTGGAGTCCTCTATTTGTAGTGCATTATGTTTCCAACGGCTAGTTTTCTGCACATGTATTCTGGTTCCAACAGCTAGTTTTCTGAACATGCAGCTATTTTCAACGGCTAGTTTTCTGCACATTTATTCTGGTTCCAACGGCTAGTTTTCTGAACATGCAGCTCTTTTCAACGGCTAGTTTTCTGTCATTACTGTTTGATACATTGCTGGAACATTGATGCATTGATGATAGACTAAATAATACAATACCAAAACTAAAAGATATCTTTGACAGAAATGGAAAGATACATTGATGAGAGCCTGAAACTAAATGATACAATACCGAAACTAAAAGATACATTGCTGAAATGGAAAGATACATTGATGAGAGGCTGAAACTAAATGGTACTAGTAATTATTAAATAGATAGCTCCATGCCTAGAAGATTCAGAAGCTGGTTATATCGCTGTAGCTTTGCTGCATCATATCCGGATGTGTCTGTCTCCAGTAACTTCATATACTTGCTCAATTTTTTGGTTCTTGCCTTCTCAAGTGTGGTAGCAGCTAATCTTTCATTGCAGATGCCTTCTCCTTTCTTGCTTCTGCAGCCATCTCTATTGCAGCTGATTTTCTTGCTATGGCATCATGATATAGTTGCATAGTTGGATCTGGCAGGTTGCTTGAAGAATTTTCGGAGTGACGCTGTTGTAGTCTTTCTCAACTGCTTTCCAATACTGGTCTGATTTCTTGGAGTTACCATCTACTGGATCGAGAGAATTTTCCAACCAAGCATTGACAAGCCGCTTATTTTCTTCCTCTGTCCAGTTTCTCCTCTTAGCAATAGGTTCTTCTGCTTCACCGGGACTACTTCCACTTGACTCTTGCTGATCTATTTCTTCTGCCCTATGTATTGATGCAGGAGGCTGAGTCGAATAATGAAAATATCCGGCATCTTGGTTGATCCTAGCATGTGGATCAATCCCGGTGAAGCCGGCGGCTGCAGAAGATGAATGACCATATGAACCTCTTCCATACACTCCATGTGCTGCTTGGAAACCTGAGGTATGTGGAGGTGGAAATGGATACATGTTCTGTGCATACATGGGATGCAAATATTACCCATGCTGAGAGGATGAAGCACTTGTGAACTGGTGAGGTGGGGTGGCAGATGGGGTATAGTTTCAATTTTCTGGATCTTGGCTTGAGCAACTATTGAGCATCCTAGTGAAATTTCCTGGAGAGTGCTCCATGAATGTGAAGTTTTTTGAGGTGTCTAGGCTCCCAGTTGGTTTGGGTGTGTGCAAACTTATTGTTCAAAGCCCTAGTATATATACTGATAGATGTGTGTATGCACACACTTATTGTAACGGCCATAATTTGTTGTTTATTATTATTTTTAAATGCAACGGTTGTATTGGATTGGATGTGTATGCTCAGAACAAACTGAGCTTTGCCAGTTTGCACTGTATAACGGTTGCCCTTGGCTTGCTAGGCAACGGCTGGTGTGTTTAGCTTTCAACTGCCATCTTTAAATAATATTATTTTATTTTTTGGAGGCAGCCTCTAGGCTTGGAGGCGATGCCATGAATTTTTTGTTAGAGGCAGCTGTGTGCAATGTATAGAGTCAGCCTTTAAAGGCTTAGAGGCAGCTATAGAGGCAGCAAAAGGGCACACTGTGGATGCTCTGAGAAAAGCTGATCCTACAATATCTCGAATTTGGTTTGCTGTAGTAAAGCTGATCTCCGGCGTCAAGCTCGGTCGCCGGCCGGCGCAAGGCGGGGAGAATCGTCGGAGAACTTGGTGTTGCGTTTCTTGTGCTCGTCGCCCGGCCGGCTGCGCGACCTGTCATCATGTCCGTCGGTGCGCGTGTGGGTGCGCCGTGTAGACAAGGAAATAAGATATGCCTACCCGTATCTGTACGTACGAGTTCCTTTCGTGTGGGTGGACGTTGCGATCTTTTGGGGGTCTGCCCATGTGTTGCGCATGTGCATTTGTGCCTTGTTCTTTCGCCTCTTCATTCCTTCCCACTGATGCATCAAAAAAAAA